CTGGAGATGTGGGCTCAAATCCCCATTCTGCCATAAAGCTCTTATAATGACCTTGGCCCATTGCATTCAGCCTAACTTACCTCATAGGATTGGTGGGATAAAATAGGGGAGAAGTACATACAAAACTGAGTGAACCCCTTGGAGGAAGGGTGTGGTAAAAATGTAAATCCATCAAATGTAATAATATAAAATAATATAACAAAGTTTGAGTACAGTGGCACATTTAAGACCAACAGAGTTTTATTCAAGGTGTAAGATTTTGTGTGCATGCACACTACTTCAGATGCAGTGAAACATATAGGTAGGGGGGTTAGTTGCCTAGAAGGGCTCTTAACACCCTCCCCAATATGTAGTGGTTGAAGAAGTTTTGCTTTGCTGTCTTAAAGGTGCCACTGGACTCAAACTCTGTTCTGCTGCTTCAGACCAATACGGCTACTCACCTGGATATAAAATATGTCATACATGCCTATCAAAGAAATCCCTTTTCCAGATGGAGTTCTGAGGTGCCTGTTTCTTGGGGTTTGGAACAAACTACACCTGGCATTGGAGTTCCCCAATGTATTTTTTGCCTTAAAAAGTAGCTGTGGTGGGGGCCCGATACGGATTTCTGCTGGGGCTCTGGGGAGAAGGAGTTCTAATTTCCCCGCTATTTTCTTGATTGAAAAAAGTCTCTCCATGCCCTAGGTGCTTTAGAACCTGATGAGGAAAAAAGAGAGGAGTGCAATCTGAGTGCCCAGTTAGTCATGGATGTCTCAGCCTGCCAGGCCCAAATTTCAGGGTTGGGAACTGTTACCTTCTGACCCCTGCCAAAAAGAGCCAAGTGCCTGTGGAGAAGGCAGTGTTCATATGAAATGACCATTGGTACATCTTTTAGATCTGGTATTTATAGTAGTAAGTCTTAAAATGGAAAGGGAAGTGAAAATAGGGAGCTTCCAAATGGCATAACTTGATGTAGTCTGTACCAACAGGAAACAGTTGCTGTGTAGCACTTGTGTAAATAACTTCCTTCCTTCCTCTCCTAGTGTATGGTGCTGTCAGCACATGACACGGATAAACCTAGGAATTACTTGCAAGTTACCTCTTTGTGAGATGGCCCAATATCAATGGGTACTTCAAGACTGCTGCTCGATACAATGGAAGTGAATCTCATGGGTAGATTTTGTTGTGAGGAATCACTGCAGCGTGCTGTTCCCCTTTGCTAGTAAATACACTTGTGGAAATATGTACCACATAGACTCCAAACAATGGTGTGGAGATGGCTTTCAGCAAGCTAGTCTATTCAGAAATGAGCATATTGGAAGAATGGCTTTTTAAGGAAAGACTTTTTACCAGCAGCAAAACTTGGAAGGTGCACACTGAGTCACAAACAGAATTGGTTTGTACACGTGCAGAAAGTGCACATATTTGTCAGCTTGTTGCAGCAGTTTTTTAACCACAGTGGGAAAAGGGCTAGATGGACATATGAAGTTGCTTTACTCTGAGACTATTGGTCCCACCTTTCTCTGTATTGTCTATTGTGTCTGGCAGCATCCGGAGGGATATTTTTTATAATTTTTTATCAGACTACAAAACTACAAGGAAAATATAAGGGAAGGGGATTACATCTAAGGATAAGGATAGCTAACCACACTACACTAAAAACCCAAGAGGAGGAGATCATATCCGTGTTAATCTAAGTGTTATTAATAAAAGTATTAGTACAAGAATATACTTGTAGAGTTCTCGTTTGTCTTGGCTTCAATGTTAGTATGTTAGTTGTTGTGAGAGAACTTTCTGAGCATCTTCTTGTTATTTGCTTCAAAAGGCAATTTTCCGAGTCCTTCTGCCTTTACTTCGGTTTTCTGTCTCTGAAATCATATGTAACTTTTGTTGCGCCTGCACCCGTTTCTACAGCAGAGTCCTCATCCGTTCCAGAGGTAGCGGAGTCACTTGATTTCGATTCTTCATCTTTGGATTCTTCCTCCAATCCCAACTGGTGTCTCAAATTCTTTGGCATTAAAAATGGAGTCAATCTTTTCTCTTTTGTCGTTGATTTTAAAGATGACACCCTCTGGGTGTCCTTATAGCTTTTCCTCTTTTGGTGAATTTCAAATGGAATGTATTTTAAAGTTTTAATGTTTATATTCCCCATTTTCAGTGGAGTAGCATCTCTGGTCTGTCTTCTTGAGAATCTGACCACAATTTCTCCAGGCAGGTTATTTTTTTAAATATAATTGGAGTATGCCCTATAAGCCGTCTCCATCTCTTTTACTACTTCATCCGCTGTTGAGCCTATTGCTGGAGCAATAATCTCGCTGAGCAGCTTCCTCATATCCTCCTTTGCCAGTTCAGGAACTCCATAGAATCTGAAAATCATGTTGGCTTTTTCCATTTGTAGCTGTAACAAACGGTTTTCTTGGAAGTTTTGTTTTGTTTTGCTTCAACTCCCCCCATTCTTTTCTTCATTTTCTTGTTTGTGGTGTCTATCTCTTTAATTCTCTCAGTCGTATGCTCCACCTTCTTCGCTGTTTCTGCCAGTTGGAGCTGCTAGGATGCGAAGTTTTGATTCAGCAAAGTCAGTTGCCGGTTAATACCATCGAGTTGCTCCATCACCGGCTTGAGCATATCCGGTAACATTTTCCTGACGTCTGCTCCCTCTTCCGGTTTTGGGCTCTGACTACCCACCGGTTTCGCTTTAAACTGTCTTTGCGAGGCCGCCATTTTATATGATTGTTAACAATTCCAAGGCGCTTCTCACGGACTTGAAAAATTGTCACCTCAATGTCAGCGCTCTAGTAAGTCTCTCGAAACAAAATCTCTGCTTGTTTCCCCCCCCGCCTTCTTCGTTACGCTTATCTGTCTATTTGCATAAGAGGCCTCCCTCTTTGCGCTCCGCTTTCCCCACGGGGGGGGGGGGGTTAGCTTTTAAAATATTCCGTTTATTTTGAACTCACGTTCATTGTCGGCCATTTCTCTGACCTCGCTCACAGTAATTGATATTCTGCTCGATCTCCAGTGCTTGTCCCAGTCGAATCAGCTTGTGCCCAATGGCCACACAGCGGCAGAACCGTCAGGGCAGAGGGAAGCCTCAATTCTCCGGCATTTAGCCGTCGAAGAGGCTGCCCCTCAAAAGCCCTATGGCCTGGAGCCTATCACAAAGGCTCCGTGTGAGTGCTACTTGAGGTAGCACCTCTCCATACCGCTGGTGTGCAAGTCACTCCCCCGAGGTCCGGGGAGAACGACCGCCATCGCTGATCCACAAACTGGACTCGACAGCAAACAGTTTTCCAATGCCTGCTATCTAATGTCTGATTTATATATGATGCTTGTGATGTAGAAGAATTTACCCCTCACATTGCATGTTCCAGCATCTCATTTAAACTGGTGTCCACATTGGGAAATCTGAAATTTATAAACAGGGTAGGCAATTTATGTTATGCATGGATTGCATCCATGGTCATGCAGTTAGAATGAGATTCTGGGTACATGCCAAGTTGCATGCACAGACAAGTTCTGCTGTCATGTTTAAATGATCAAGCCATGTAGATCCATGCCACAGTAACATCAAGGCTATACAGTTGTAATGCACTGTACATGGGTCTGCCCTGAAAGGCCACTTGGAAACTCCAGCTGCTAGTGAACAGGCAAAGTATGCATATAACACATGTTCTGCAGTCACTCCATTGGTTACTGTTTAGTTCTCGGATTCAGTTTATTTTCGGAGGGGCTGTGGCTCAGAGCATCTGCTTGCAGAAGGTCCCAGATTCAATCACCGGTATCTCCAGTTAAAAGATCTGGTAGGTGATGTGAAAGACCTCTGCCTGAGACCTTGGAGAGCCACTGCCACTCTGAGTAGACACTACAGACTTTGATGGACCAAGAGTCTGATTCAATATAAGGCAGCTGCACGTGTTCAGCTTATCACCTATAAAGCCCTTCATGGTCTAGAACCCTCACAACTAAAGGAACAAGTCTTCCAGTATGCCCACTGTTACAGCTGCTGCACTCTTCTGATGAAAGTCTACTGAGGATTCCACCCTAAAATGGGTAGGATCAGCAGCTGCCAGTACCTGAGCGTTCTCTGTTTTGGCTCCCATGTTGCAGAATGGCCTGCCTGAGGAGGTCAGAAAGGCTTCCACACCTCCGTCATTCCACATAATGTATGAAAGGAAGTTGTTCAGATGGACGTTTTTATAAAGAGAACAGGGCTGGAATTGTTGAGGACAATGCTTTAATAAAGGGATAAGGGCTGTAGTTCATGGCACTGTTTATTATATGTATTTTTTGCTTTTACTGCCTTGTCTTCTAATTTCCGTAATCCTTGTTTTTGCATTTCTTGTTATACTGTTCCTATTGCCTTGCTAAATTTTGTAATTTCACTTGAGTCTCCAACTATAAATGAAGTAAATTATAATGGGACCTGGATAAAAACTGTGCTACCAATCTTATGGTCCCTCTCCATGGAATTCAGGGCAGGATAGTAAATTCTGGGAGGATTTTATCTGGTGCTTTTGGGGATATGATAGGACTATAAGCATTAAAGATATAGTAATAACTGACATCTATTCTGGGGGATGCAATTATTAATCATCTTATTATTCTTACTGGAACAGTTGGTGCAAACAAATTTGATGGATGATCAGCCATTAGAACTGTAGGTGCTTGCTGTAGTTCCTTTCTAAACATATGTAACCCAGAAATCAATATAATTTCATTAAGATTATTATCTCCATATAATTTAATTAAGATTATTTAAGCCTAAAAATGCAGGCTTTTCTTTTGGTGCAGTGTGACTTGTGGTCGGACAGTTTTAGTCTAATGTAGGTGCTAGTACATTGCCAGTGATAAATTGGAGAACAACTGTATGTTTGAGGCACTGAACAATTTTTTTTTTCATAAACATGTACAACGATGGCTAATTAGGCATTAAACCTGGGGTTACCTGGAGTGATCTTGTAGTTTACTATTTACAAAAAGCTATCCTTAGTCCTGACTTAAAAGTTTGCTGTTTTTAACACTAGGTTGGCTGGAGTACGGCACGTGATTATTATACATTTGTTTGGTCACCTATGCCTGAAAATTATGTGGAAGGATCGACGGTTAACTGTGTGCTGTCTTTTCAAGGTAAATAGATTGCTTATCTAGTTTTGGTTATTAGCTACTTATTTTAATACTTCAAAAACTATCTAGCTCAGTTATAAACTATAGAAATATATACAGTGGGAGAGGCTTGAACAGTTCTGGACTGCTGCAGGGAAGGGTGGCTGTAGAAAGGTGGCTTGGTGCAGCTGAGCAGGATACTGGTGTTGAAAAGGGATGATTCCTACCTGGTTCCCAGCTGGAGGTGGAGTCTGGCCTCAGCTAATGGGGGGAAAGAGGTTGTGCTCTCCTGGGTCCTCCACCTGTCAGGGTGCTCCCTGCTTGTCCTTGCTTGCCCTCTCTCTGCCCCAGCTTTGAGACAGGAGCAGCCCTGTTGCTTGGGCCACTCGGCCTGGTCTCCCTGGCTTGGTCTCTGCCCCTTGGGTGGGTTGGGCCCTTGTTGCCTGAACATTCATGCCGGCCAACTGGCTGTAGAGGTATGACTGACACAGCCAAACCTTCCAGACAGATCTTCATTAGTCTGCTGAGCCATGGGAAAGGCACCCCTTTCTGGCTACTGTGAGGCCCATGTCCCTGCTACTCTGGGATGGTTCATATGGCCCTGGGGCCATTCTCTGTGGGGGTCTTCACCATATTAAGTAGGGGCATTTACTGGAATGGGGTAGGGTGTCATGCCCATTCCTGGACATATAGTTTCCCCCAGGTTATAAATATTTCTTTTCTATTCCAGTTTATGATCACACAGCAGCTTTGGTTTAATATTCTGAATAGCTTAGACCAGCTTGTTGAGATGTTCTAACTGGGGCTGTGTGCACAGCGGGTATTTGCACACACACTTCTCTAGACAGTTATGCATGTGTGGATCTTGGGCATTCAGGGGTGACACCTTCTGTACAAGGCCATGACTGATGTGCTGAAACTTCTATGTAGGGCATTCTCAGACTATGGGATCCTCATCTGTTTTTGCTGTAAGAAATGCTTTGGAGGTCATAGAGCAGCAGCTGGTAGAGCAGAAATGCTGTAGGATATTGGGTAGAAGGTAAAAGTTATTGCAAAAGCAGTGCATAATGTTGGATTTTGATGTTTTTGGCCATCTGTGTGAGATACATAAACACATGAAGCTGTGTTATACTAAATCAGGCCCTTGGCCCATCAATAGCAGTATTGTCCACTCAAACTGGTGGTGGCTCTCTAGAGTCTCAGACTGAGGTTTTTCACATCACTTACTGCCAGATTCTTTAACCAAAGAAGCGGGGGAGTCAACCTTGGGACCCTCTGTATGCCAAGTAGATGCTTTACTACTAAGCCACAGCCTTTCCCCATTATCAAAGAAGTCGGAGTACTAAATACACTGCTGGAAGATCTCAAGGAAAGGAAGAGGAGAGGAGACCCTTGTAGCATTCCTTTAGAAAAAGGCACCTGTCCCCCTGGAGATTTCAGATTTCTGTGATCTAATCCTGGAACAGGGCCCAGAACATACTAGGATAGGAGATAGTGTTCTGATCACTATTCTCTAGCTATTTTTTGTGATTTTTTTTTTTAAAAAGCAGGATGTATGAATCTTCTACTTCAAAGGCAGGAAGACATTTGGAAGTCATGGAGATAAGCCTCTTGTCCTCCTGCCTGGTCTCAGAGGTTGGGCCTATTGCTAACGTTAGATGTCCTGCTGACATGAGGAGAACTATATGGTATAATATACTCATGTAACAGAGTTTTAAGACTGGCCTAAAGTGATAATTCTGCAGACTATTTTGGCCATAAACAATATGTTCCTTTCTGTTTTGCTTTGCGACAACTGTGTAACGCTGTTCCTGACTTTTTAAAAATGTGCACGGGTATAAAATGTAAGACTAGTAAAAATGCTAAGTCTTTAGCATTACAAATGTGTAGTAACTTATGCTTTTCATTGAGCCTTGCCTTTTGGAAGATACTGGACAATAAAACTCTGTGATATATTTGTACCATGTTCATGTTGCTTAATTTGAATACTTTTTAGTTTAAGCTACTATCACAATAAATAAAGTATGCATTCTTTAAATGCTTATTTATATATTTATTGGTCAGGATACTATCTTCCAAATGATGATGGTGAATTTTACCAGTTCTGTTATGTGACACATAAGGGTGAGATCCGTGGAGCAAGCACCCCTTTTCAATTTCGAACATCTTCTCCTGTTGAAGAACTGTTAACTATGGAAGATGAAGGGAATTCTGATATGTTGGTGGTGACTACAAAAGCTGGACTACTTGAGGTTTGATTTGGAAAACTAATATTTGTATATACCTAAACATACAAAATGTAGTGTATTATTTTTCTGCAAAATGCTATGTTTTTACATTGCATTTTTGCTGTCTCTGAAGTATCCTGTGATCATTTGTAGAATACTGACTGTTTCTTGTATTTGAAATACAGTAAGAAAAACTTACAAAAACTTAAATTTCTATAAACAAATTTTGAGTCAAGTGGTACCTGTAAGACCTACACCTGCTATTAATCTGTGGTAGAATCAGGGGTCATTTCGTAGAAAAAGAGGTGCAGGACCTCATTAGCATAACTCATTAGCATAACTTATTTGCATATGCCACACCCCCTGACATCACCGGAAGTGTGTCAGATGGTGACACCTACTGCTCAGGCTCCACTGGACTGTTTTGAATTGCTAGCTATTGGGGGAATGTGCAGATCTGTCCTCGCAGAGGAGGGAGAGCTTGTATCTGAATAAAACCCGGTCTTAAAGGTGCCACTGGACTGTTTTGGACCGGGGAGCCGAGGGGGGGCTCTGCAGCTTACCTGGCTGCTTCTTGGTCTGACTGAGGGCTGCTGGGAGCAGGGGGTGGGGCTTGTTGCATGTGCCCGCCTCCTGGGCTCTTTACTGCCGAAGCTCTGCTCCTGTGCGCTCCTGCAGGAAATGACCCTTGGGTAGAATACCAGCTTAGTCTAGAATTTCAGAATAGAAGTAAAGATGCAAAAATAGAGTAGGTATTTCATCAGCTTTGCTTTTTTATTTTTGTGCATATGATGCAGCAAATGGGAAGTAATGAAGATTAGTTTGTAGTGTTGCAATGGTATTGCAGTGCAATGGTAAATGACCAGGTAATGCTGGCTTTTGTAATTCTAGTTCAAAATTGAAAAAACTATGAAAGAAAAAGAAGAACTGCTAAAGATAACTACTTCACTTGAAAAGGAAACTTTGCAACTCAGAGATCAAGTTGAAAGACTGGAGAAAGAACTTACCCGTGAAAAGGAAAGATGTGATCAATATGAAGCACAGCAAAAGGTTAGTCTGCAGAAGACTTCCTTCTGCTAGTAGATGGCACAGATGATACTGTCTGAAGGCTGTTGTTTGTCTTTCTGCACTTTATTTGGCAGCAGTACCTTGCTGCACTAGCTGGTTTTCTTATTCTTTGTTGTGATAGCAACTCTTCCCAGAGCAGGCAAATGGGTAGTCTCCTTCCCAGCTGAGAGCTCAGGGAAGAACTAGTATCACCACAAATACCACAACAATGTGACAAGGCTAGTGCAGTGAAGTATTGTTAGCTGCTGCTGAAGGTATATGAGCTGCAGTGGGGGCACTTCCCTTGCTAGAAATGTGGTTTGGGTGAATGTGTGAAGTGAGATTATCAACTGTCTCAGTTTGCATTGATCAAAGGGGCCCTGATTCCTTTTTTTAAGAAGGTAATGACTTGACAAACGCTTAAACTTCCTTTTACGTAGGTCTAATTAAGTTATATCATAGATCTCAATTACAACCGACTTGCCTATTCTCAGTGTGTTCAATTCTTAGTGCAAACTTATATTAAACCTATGCCGGATATGCTCTAATATGGTAAGTAACACACTGCCAGGCTGGTTTGAGAGCTTGCCATTTGTAGGCTTATGTAGTAATTTGTCTCCCTCTCGTGACAAAATAATATTAGTGTACTGGGTCAGAATGAAATGTTTCAGTGGTGACAATTCTTAATTGCTCTCATAAATACCTAACTTAAGTCTGCTGTAAATCTCTTTCTTTAGTATGCCTTTAAGATCCTTTAAACATTATTGTGTGTATTAATACAGGTATAAAGTGGAGCACTGGTAGATTTGTTGATTTAGTGCATTTTGTTTCTTTCAGTGGGTCTTTAAAAATTAGTAGGGTTTTTGGAGTTCTGTTCTTTGCTGTTCTAGTTTTGAAGAGGCATAAGAACAAATGTATTAAGATCACTTCACTGCAGCTTCATTCATAAAGGATATATGTTTGAGTTGGCTTCAGTTGCTTGTTTATTTATAGTTCCTTTGTCCAGGGAATGACATGGAGAATATTTTTGCTGATATTAAGGGAATTATCCAGCAGTAACAGAAGCACAGTTTAGACTAAAATAGAAAATTTAATTTGGGCCTTTTGTCAAACATGTTAACTAATCTTTAAAAAGTACCCTCTTATATAGGAATTTCATTTTCACTGACTACTCTGTTAGTGTAGAGAATGAGTCTGTATAAAGAGGATTCTGTTTACATTATTTAAATGGCTGAGCAGAATTATTAATATGAATGCTTGTGTTTGAGTAGCTGCAGTGTGCATTGGGTTGTGTGTTTCCTAAACTGTAAGCCTGTACAAGACAATTTTTATTTACATTTGTGAAAATTACTTGTAAGACGAGTATCTAAACTTGGTTGCCTCATTTTGAGAATTCCTGAATAAAAGCGGTGATCAAAGATAAGGGGTCACTTGAGTTCAATTGTATTTGTTTCCATATTTTGAAGTGGTTTGGAGTTTTCCTGTTTTCTTCATTGCTAGTCATTGTTTCAGGGAAGTAAGCGAAGCCTCCAACTTGGCTGATGGTGGTCCTAATTGTACACATTTGTAGCAGTTTGGTTCACATATTTCCTTCCAAGAAGAGGAGTTATTCTGTGTTAGGATTTCAGAGTCAAGAAAGGGAGGCTTTTAGCATTTTGTGCTTGTTCCTTATAAATGCCATAGCAATAAAAATATTCTTGTTACAACTATCCCTCAGAATTAAATGACAGAATTATTCTCTTTCAATCATTGTGACTTTTTTTTGCCTTCAAGTCACAGCTGACTTATGGTGACCCTGTAAGGTCTTCAAGGCAAGAGATGTTTAGAGGTGGTTTGCCGTTGCTTGATTCCGAGTTACGACCCTGGTATTCCTTGTTCACCTCTCATCCAAATACTAGCCAGGACCGACCTCACTTAGCTTCTGAGATCTGACAAGATCGGGCTAGCCTGGGCAATCTAGGTCAGGGCTTGTAAGTGAACAGCCAGGATTTAATCACACTAAAACTATTGCTTCACACAAAACATAATCCCTCTTCCCCACAAACATGTATATGATATACACATACCTGTTGACGCTGAGTCTCCTCAAAGAATTTGAGCTTCCAATTGCTTAACACCTACCTAGAGTTCAATGATAACTCATTTGTGGTTGCCTTTCAGTCCAGGTTCAAATTGCTTATGCTCCCACCTCATCAGAGATTACTTTCACATCTTGCCACTTTGGAGGAAATTTTGCTGTAAAATGTGTTTGACGTTAGTTAGATGCTTGTAAATGTAAACATCCTAAAAGTATTGTTCATGAAACATGCACTTCTCCTTCTCTCTTTTTTTATGGAAGCATAATTTTAAAACTGTAGAAACTCTTAAAACTGAAAATGAAGAATTCAAGAAAAAATACGAGGAAGCTACTTCAAAAGTTGTCCAACTTGAAGAAGACATCATGACTGTTACTCAGAAAGCAATTGCAAAAGAAACAGAGTTAGACAGGTATACATTTAAAATAATGCTTTATTTTCCAGTCAGAGTGGAACAAAATGAAATAATTGAATGTGTTATTTCCTGTAGCCTAAAAGATAAACTCAAGAAAGTAGTCCTTGAAAAGGAACAGCTTGAATGCCAGCTAAAGACAGAGAAGGATGAGAAGGAACTCTACAAGGTAACGTATCAGCCTGTATCATTCAAAATTAGCATTCCTACATTTCTCTCTAAAACAACATGAAGTTTGAATTCACCATAGAGTATTTCCCTCACCTCTTTGTGTATTTACACTTAAGTATTCATTTTCTTTACTTTAGTCTGATTAAAGCTCCTTGACTAAAAGTCTTGAGCAGTCAAAACCCCTTCTCTTAAGTAGCATCATCTGGACACAACAGTAAACCAATGGACAAATCTCGCAATAGCAAGGGTAAGGTTAGGGAATCTGTCAGATAAAAGAAGTAAAACTAGTTTGTGATGAGACAAAGACGAAAAACCTATTTCTAAGGCTGATATAAAGAAGACACTCCAATAAAATATGTATTAAAGTACCAATACACTTAAGTGTTATGCATATGGTGAAATCCTTCATATGCCTGTGGATGGAAGATGGGGCTGGTAACATCCCTAATTTCTCATGTAAGTCTTATCTTCCATTCCATGACATACTAATGGCAAATGGTTCTGCTAGTCTTACATTTTCTACTCTAAGAACAGCTATAAGAACTACTACTTCATTTTCTTACAAATATCTGCTGTATTTATTCCAGCACAATACTGTACTAGTACAGGACTTCCTGAATCGAACAGGTTACTAATTGTACCCACGAACTGTTGCCTGTCTGTCCTTTGACCTCATCCCACACTGCCCAAAGATGTAGAGGCAATATCTGAAGCCTAGTTTGTGTTGACCACAAACCTTGTAGGCCTCCTGTAATGACTAAGCATCACAAGTCATGAAAAAACAGACTGAAAAACAAAAGCCCTGGATCCCAGCCCATCTGTTCACTACTCTGATAAGGAAGCTTCTGATGGGAGGCCTTGATGACTTATTATATCCCATTTCTCTCAATGGCAGAAGCAGCTGTGACTCTCAGGATTGTTTAAAGATTGCTGTGTTTACACTTCCTGATGAGTGTGCATGTGGCAAAACTGATCTGACTGAAATCATTATACTTGGTGCTATACACAAGTAAATGTTATGGTCTTCTTGTATGTTCATGGAGAAAAAAGTCTTGTGTAAAAAAGTGTGAGTCTCTTTCTGGCTGTATTCAGGAAAGCCCCCCCCCCCCCCGTACCTCAGTTCAAGACTGCACAGTTTGAAACAGGAGAATACTAAAATCCTAGATTTTTCCTTTTATAAAGTAACACTCGTACTGGAAATAGTAACTTTCTCATATTCTGTTGCTTGGTCACAGGCTTTAGATACAGGGCTTTTAAAATAATTTTAAAAGATTATTTAAAATAATTTATGTTCTCACCTGCACAGTATGTGGTCCAATAACAAAACAATATAATAAACAGCCAGACAGAATTGCTTAGCAAAAGTTTGCAAAGCTGACAAATTACATTAAAGGGCCATAAAACAGAGATAATACAAATACTCTAGTTGAAAGGGATGTGATTAAAAACCCTGCCAGCAAAAAGTCATTAAAGCCAAAAGGAAAACAGTACAAGCAACTATGATGAATCATAAGCAAAGGATGAAATCCACAAAAGGCCTTGGTTAGGCAAAAAAAAAAAAGTATCTTTACCTGGTGCTGAAAACTCATTAGGTTTGGTTGTAACATCAGAAGGTCCCTCATAGCCACCCACGCTACTTAACTAAGTGAGAGTGTGTGGAGCCCGGGCTTCCATAAATAATGGGCAGGCTCAGAGGGGAGCTAATGGTCCTTTAACTGTGTCTGGGTTTGTACTCAGAAGGCTCTAATCAGATGCTTTGAGAGGGAGTTTTTAGAAAGGTAATATGTCGCTTTATGTGTGTCATGGTGTCACTTCAAACATGCAAAAAACACATTGCTGAACAAGTTCACAGTATAATGAATAAACAATGAAGATACTGCTTTAATTGTTGTTTTGTTTCAACAGCTGAATAACATCAAGAGACCAAAGTCTCAGCACAAGCAGGACGAACTTTCCCAGGCTTGACTGTCCGTTTCGACTTTGCGTCTTTATCAAACGTCCTAACAGAAATAAAACAATTTGATAATAAGGGAAGCCAACTCTAGAGGAAGTCCATTTACACAGTTTTACACTAAAGAATTACACAGTGTAAAACTGTGTAAATGGACTTCCTCTAGAGTTGGCTTCCCTTATTATCAAATTGTTTTATTTCTGTTAGGACGTTTGATACAGACGCAAAGTCGAAACGGACAGTCAAGCCTGGGAAAGTTCGTCCTGCTTGTGCTGAGACTTTGGTCTCTTGATGTTATTCAGCTGTTGAAACAAAACAACAATTAAAGCAGTATCTTCATTGTTTATTCATTATACTGTGAACTTGTTCAGCAATGTGTTTTTTGCATGTTTGATCTGAATTGCTGGGTCCTATTCACCCATGGTGTCACTTCAGACACGAATAGCAAATACCTGGCAGTTGACCAGTGGTTCATACAGTCATGTTGTTGATCTTATCCATGGGCATGTGATTCCTGTTTCTTGGTCTTGTGTTACCCTTTAAGTGAGCAGTTAAAATTTTTGGTCAGTCTTAGGGAAATCATTATGAAGAATAGAATCATTAGAGCTTTGTGGTGGTGTGCATTATGAACAAATAAGATTTCTCACTCTTTGTTACCTGTTTCTTGAGTTTGTTCGGATAAGACATTAAGAGATTGATGTGAAATCTTCAGTGAGAACAAGCAAGCCAGTTGTATCATTGCAAGGGATTTATCATTGCAGATACATTTGAAAAACACAGAAATTGAAAACACCAAACTAGCTTCAGAAGTCCAGACACTAAAGAATTTGGATGGAAACAAAGAGAACCTGATAGCTTATTATAAAGAAGAGATTGGCAGGTTACAGCTGTGTGTGGCCGAAAAAGAAAAGTTAAAGAGAGCTTTCTTGCTTACTTCATCAAACAAGGTAATTGTTTTAACTGTAATTTAAGATTGATTAATACCTTTGATTGCTCTGAGTATTCAAAATCCCACGGTATTGTTCTTACACTGCTGAGTACTTTGACACACTTTTAAATTCTTTAAAATAAAATTGGAAAATTAAAAACCTGTGTAAAAGATACAAAGTGTGGCTTACACAAATCTGCTTTATTTTCACATTTATGTGGTGGGAGTTGAAATAAAAGCAGATGTTCAGTAACTTGTGATATTCCCCCCCCCCATAGGTCTTCAACACCTCCGCCTATTGAACACATCTGGTCAGGCTGGTCAGGCAACTGGTTCCCTATCTCACCCCCTGGGACTTAGCTACTGTGACCCACGCAATGGTCACTTCCAGACTATAACTCGTTTTACGCGGGGCTGCCCTTGAACTTGACCTGGAAACTGCAGCTGATGCAGAATGCAGTTGCACATATGCTGACAGTTCAAGGTTCTAGTGTAACATTTAAAGCCCTATATGACCAGGGACCTGCATATCTTACGGATCGCCTCTTCCCATATGTGCCCCACAGAGCATTGTGCTAAACTGATCAACATTTACTGGTTGTCCCCGACTCCAAGGATGTCTGACTAGCCTCAACCAGGGCCAGGGCTTTTTCTGCCCTGGCCCCAGCCTGGTGGAACAAGCTCCCACTTGAGATCAGGGCCCTACGGGGTTTGCTACAATTCCACAGGGCCTGTGAAACAGAGCTGTTCCGCCAGGCTTTCAGTTGAGGCAGCAGACATCCAAAATCCATCTCTGGCCTCCCTTACTGAAATCGCTGGTTTTATGATTAGCCTAAACTGAGCATAGTAATACGAAGCTTGATTGCTGTTTTTATTATTGTTTTAAATAGTCTTAATTATCTAATTCAGGGGTGTCAAACCTGCAGCCCAGCCCGCTCAGGCCTTTAATCCGGCCTGGGAATGGGGCTCTCTTCTCTCCCCCCTCCCCTGCCCAACCTCATTGTTCCTATCTTGGGCTGTGTGGGAGTATAAAGATCTCAGGGTGGGACTGCCTCTGAGCAGAGAGCTCAGGGCAGGAAGCAGAGGGTGAGTCTGCCGGACTTCCCAGCCACCACTCCAAGCCTCCATAGTCCTCCTCACAGGTAGGAGCTGGGGGGGGGGGGGGGGGCTTTTTTAAAACTGGCTTTGCGAAATCCCACTATTCCCCACCACCACCTTTCCAGTTTAGGCAGGCACATTTTAAGGGGGGGGGAAGGTTTGGGACCAGCCAGGGTTAAAATATAGAGTTCTGCAAACTCAAGGGACTCCAGTTTTGCAGAGAAATATTAGTTTTAACACACACACCCTCCTAATGTGGAAATCCAATGGAATAATAGCAGAACAAGTGCTGAAGAGGACACCCAAAATTATCTCAAACCACCCTGTAACCCCCCCCCCCCCGAGACCCTGGAGAGCCACTGCCACACTTGAGTAGACCGGGGGTGGGGGGTGGAAGAAACTTGTGGTGCTCAGCCGTTTCATGTTCTTCCCTTGGGTCTTGGCTCAGATGATTTATATTTGTATTCTATATTTTGGGGAGGGGGGAGGTTTGGGACTAACCACAGTTAAAACATAGAGTTCAGCAAACTCAAGGAACTGCAATTTTGCAGAGAAATATTAGCCCCCAATAGAATAGCTGCTATAATATATTTAATTGTGTTTTCCTGTGTCCTTTACAAAGTTTATATCTGTTACCTGGCATTACATTTTATGAGACACATGGCCCAGTCCGACAAAAGTCCAATTTATGTCAAATCCGGCCCTCATAAGAAATGAGTTTGACACCCCTGATCTAACTATTATTGAGATTGTGTGACCTTGTAACCCGCCCTGAGTCCATTTGCCAGGAGGGCAGGATAAAATAGAATTAAATAAATCTAATAGTGGTAGCATTTACATTAGTATACCTTTTCATTTAAAGGTAGCAGGACTCCCTAGCTGTATTTAACAATCAGTTCCCCTGGTTCTTTATTTCTCCTTTCCAGGAAGAGGCAAGCATCTTAAAGGAACAGCTTCGGAAAGCTGAGGATCAGATTCAAGCAAGTAGGCAGGAAGCTTTGTTGATGTCCAAAGAACTCAGTGATGCAGTAAATGTGCGCGATAAAACCATGGCAGATCTTCATAATGCTCGACTGGAAAATGAGAAAGTGAAGAAGCAACTTGCTGATGCTCTAGCTGAGCTTAAAAAAACCACTCTTGCAAATAATGAACAAGTAAGAGGTGTCTTTGTGTAAATCTTCAGTGTAGAACATGCTCAAGGACCAAAGTTGTTTGTATAATTATTGATTCTCATCCGTTTTTGTTGAAGTCTTGCTCCATATTTCTCTCCCTCACCCCCCCCCCCCCT